TATGTAATTAGCACGCAGTGACTAGATATCATGTCGTGATATGAACGTTTTAAGTTCATGCAATTTTCTTCAGTTTTGCAATGGCATTTCACACCGTCCAGAGAAATTTTTTCCTCCAAAAGCAGGCTAGGTTTGTGTTAGTAGAACCCACTTTTCTCGAGATGACAGGACTATTTAAACAGTAGAGAATTTTGCGCTGAACTCGATAGTGTTCGATATTCATGATACAGCTCCTCATAGGGCCTGCGCTTAACGGTATCCAATGTCCATTCAAATGTAGTTAAATAGGAATTCAGAAAGATAGGATGGGCAGTCAAGAAGAAACCACATTTTTGTTATGACTTGTAGGGTTTTCTTTATCCATTGAATGATGAATTACCTTCCATTTGTTTGACTAGGTTTTCCCCGCTTCACCTACATTTTGTCACAATTGCGAAGATAAAGTTTCGTAAACATAATTAGTCTTCTACAATATAACTAGTTGTCGGATGGTAATTTGAACGTATATTTTGACAGAAAAGTAGGAGTCTAAAGTCTTACAGGGTTCAGTCTTAAAGCCCTTACTAATTTCAACTTTCTCCTACAAAACGTCTGCAGTATCTACTTCTTCTCTAGGCTGATGATGTAAAGATTTGGAGAGTATTAAAATATTCGGAAGAATCAGACAAGTTTCAGGTGGACTTAAAATTTCCGAATACTTAGCACATGTTAGTGGTGCGTATTTCACCCTGGAAATATACATAGTGGGGCAACTATGTGGGATAGGAACGGTGACAGTAAATTACTCCCTGTGTAATAACTTGTTTTGTGAAACGTTGGATTACGATTTAGGTCTTGTTCTAACAGAGGAACTTGACTCAAGTTTCGATTACACGGGTAATGTAGCATGAGCATATATGGTTATGCACTTCAAGCATAGGCGTTGAGCACACTCAATCTTGAGCTTTATCTAGGACTGCACAAAAATATGTACGATCGCACTTTGAACTGCATAATACTGTCACTTAACTACCGCCGGAAAAGGAATGCCAGTCTTCTGGAGAGTCTCAGGACGGCCATTAAGTGGAGTGATTAGTCTCCGAAATACACCATATGGTGAAAACCTAGGGGAATCTCGTCTTTTAACACTCAGCCTAGGTCAGCATAGCAGTGACCCATTTAATGCCTGCAAGAATATTTATAACTCGAACCACCCGAAAAGTATTCTGATTCATGGCAACCTATGGAGGATCGTGCACCAGTAAGCAAAGATACGGGTATTCCTATTTCGTTCAGCTCCCAGTTAGCCTCCCCTTGAACCATTCACCAACATCTGCTGGAGGCTGAATTATCATGCAGTAACGCAGGCACTGTGTCCAAATAAACCATCCCCATGAAACACACACCACATTTTTCTAGGTGATACAATTTAACCCTATCATTTGCTCACCCCAGTCTATATTTTTCCACTCTTCTTACTAGTATATATCTATTCATTCACATAATTCATATCATGAAATCTCATAGCATATCTGTTTCTTTGATTGTTTTTCTGTCACCGAATATATTAATAATAGCTCTCTGTAGTGGACTAAACCGCTAAGTACGTTTATACGCGAAATAAAAAGGACAAAACAAATACAAACATGTATGTAGGTAGAAAGGAATTCAGCCCACTTAAATTAATATACACATAAAATACAGTTATTTGAAGAGTTATAATTGTCCCATAAAAAATAAATATAGATGTGCAGAATTGTAGAGATGAAGTACTTCATTTTTGGGTATACCGATGCTCACTAAACGTAAGAGTATGCCAACGACCGGAGGGTACTTGCGGAGAGAAAAGTAGATTGGGGCAAAGTATCCGAATGTGGATGTACGGATCAGGTACAAACCAGAGTTGATTGGCAAATGTGGAAAGCGAGAGGCTGGAGAAGGAGGAATTGCCATCCATTTTGAGCGCGGAACCAGGTGTCCTTGTTCAATCTCAGGTAACAACCATGATTTGCTGTGAATTTATTTATTTAACTATTTTACAGTGACCTTGTCATTTCATATTTTCCGGCCTCCACACCTTCTCTTTCAGCTAAAGAGTTATACGGCTACCTCCATTCAGACTGGCATCACAGTCCCAACTCACTGTATACAACAGAACAAACTTCACACCATACTACTTGGAATCAACAAGGCTACGACTGCTGAATTGTAGAACAAACTGCTTGTAAGCTTACCAAGAATCAGGAATCTTTGCTCAAAGAACAGGAGGCCAACCCGAAAATATTAAGTTTTCGTTTAAAGTAATTCGTAAAAAGGATGCTGGATTGTATAATTACATCATGTCTGATCGCGCCTGTATTAAAGACACGTTAATCCCTGCAAGTACTGCTACAAATGCATGACATAAATCTATACAATAAATGTTACAATGTCTTAACATATCAGGTTATCAGTGATCTAAGATTTTGAGCCATATCATGAACAATTAATAATAATAATATATTTTCATTTTTTGTAGATGAGGACGCCAGTTTACAGGCATCATCAATATGATAAATTACATGTACGATTAGTAAACATATTTAATAATAATAATATAATACAAACTTATTCCTATCTATGTAGGACACACCAGTTGTACAGGCATGGATAAGTATTATTTAAATTTGGTTTGTGGTGAAATTACATGGTTGCTGTCCATTTTGTCTTTGGTTTGTGGGAACAATCTGCTAACTAGTCATTAAGTGGAGCACATCAAGTAATACAGAAATAATCTTCGCACTAACAAAAAAACCCAAGTATGTTTTGGATGTATTTCAAATAATTGGGAAAATAATAAAGATTGAAGTCATTTCCCTCATATAACTTTGGTGTGTACGGCATCGAATCTTATTCTTGATTTATATCCAAATGGGGTGTTAATTTTAAATAAGTGATATACTGGCATAATTTTGTCGTAAGTAACACTTGTATAGTTTTGTCAGCATTTTCATCGTAACATTACAAGTGAATTGTACTCAATGTAGACTAATAATAATAACAATGATAGATATTGGTTCACAGAGACTCGACGACTCTAGCAAAGCAGTCTACATTTACTTTGGTGACTCAAAACAACAGTCAGAGTCATCATCAACTGCTACATTTATTCGATATGACTACCCCCTAATTCTTTTAACCTGATCCTATGCCGGCTAATATCACCTGTCGAGAAAAACTATGGCTTTGCATGTGCAGCACCTATCCTAGCCAACTTAATTGATTCGTCTTAATGACCTCGTCGACTGACTTACCTCCCTTGTTTAACACTCGACGCCTAACTTCAATATTACCATATTAAAGTACTTGGCACTAGAGATAGAACGCAAGCATCTGTGGTCAAAGACAACCAACCTTATTATATCTCCCATCTTGCATGGTGATATCTCAACCATTAAGGAGGATACAGTGAACTCTCACGCAGTACAGACGTCATTTATTGCTAACCAGATAATACATCCAGGCCTGAGATGACATTTATTGACAAAGCCAAGCGAAACTTTTGCATTGATATCGAAATTTCGTCGGTAATGTATCCATGGGTGCTGATGCAACTTCCCAAATGAGCGAAGTTGTCATCATATAATATTATTTCGACCGATATATTTAAATTATGGACCGTTTCGAGACCAGTCACGCAGTATCATCTTACATGTGAAAGGGCCTACCAGCATACTATATGTATTAAAATTTCTACTTCAAGGTACTCTGGAGATTAATCACTTATAAGTGTCTCTATCCAGGAGGTTAATATTATCTGAATACTAAGTCATGTACATTAGTGCATCTCCGATAAAATTAAACATGCAATGGTGACTCTATTTATTACAGATGACAGTTTCCCATAAGTCCCTACACGACTGCACGCATCTGAGGAGATTGACAGTTGTAGTATTTTCCACAATCAAACATTCCCACTGCACATGATGATCAATACAGCCAAATCCCACATTCAGGTCAGGATTGTAGTAAGTGTTGAACGTCGCTTGCTTTCTTCTGTCTAATGGGTATTTCCCGATGTTATTTTCATCTCATGACGAGTTGAACAATCGTGACTTCTTATAGGATGGGATTGAAAAAATGCCATTTAGAAATATCACGTTAATAGAGTCATCTGCAACGTCGCTAGTTTACAAGTATGAGGAACTCCATCACTCTTTCGTATCTTCATAAAAGGAATCACTGCTGACCAATAATTCTAGAGCACGATAGACAACATCCACCTACCAGGAGTCATCTCGCTGTTTCAGTTGGAGAAGTTAGGCAATATTTAATTATATTAATGAGCCGAAACAGAATTCATTCTGCAAAATCTTATGAGAGGATTGGAAACTATATGGCTAGGCATTTTTTGTTATGAACTGATATGACAGGAGATGGCTAAGTCTGATAACTGCAGTTCCATACAAGCTAGGCACTTGAGTGGTATTTAGCCGCCATAGGTGTATTTATTGGTTTCGCATGTCGGTAGACATTCCGAGTGGAGCATAGGGTTGAGGCAGCACATTACCATTATATTTTGTTCTCTGGCGTCTTTTTAAGCTGGCTGAACAACTGCGCACAAACTGTCATATCCGTCGCTTACGATTTCCTACATATGACATACGCACGCCCAACTCATAGCTTTCAATACGGATCCAACTGAAAGACCTGCTTGGCGTGCGACCTCACTCAATAAATGTCTTAAACACTTCCATTTTCTTACGCACTTCTAACTGATCTACTGACTGCCAGAGTTCTTTGTTGATTACCCTTCCCGATAAGTATCGAGCGAAGGGTAACTGATGGCGAAAGTCTCTCGGAGAGACATACTTTCATATAAGTCGGATTTGAGCAGGAAATCCCAGTCGCAATACTGGACAGTTCAAAGAAAGGTAACTTTGTTAATCAGTCTAAAGCCAAATGATATTTCTTAAATTTGTAGAATATTATTTTGAGTTAATCAAAACAATAACTACTAAATGTATAAGATGAATAACCAACACACAGTAAACTTCTAAGGGATTGAAAACATGGTACTATACGATGAAAGTAGACGCGAAAGGCAAAAACATGTAAGTACCAATTATAATTTAACAAAGTGTGGCATGAGAAATAACATTTATCTCGTAAAGGCAAGCGAATAAAGAACACAAGCCTGAAGTCGCATTATAAATAAATGTGTAGGGCTTACTAATTACTCTCAGCAGAGACATTTAAGAAAAAGGCATTCAAAATAGCTAAGGATTGTATTGTGAAATAAACAACCACATCAATGATCACAATTATCAACAAGTTCTTCTGAAAAAAATTGGAGGCATACAATCTGTGCATATACAAGAGGTTTAGTGTTTGTTTTACACAAATTTTTGTAAAATATATAAAAAGAATCCCTTTAATTGATAGTATTTATGCACATGTGAAAGAGTAACTACTAGTAACCGTAATCAACCAAAATATTGGGATAAAGTATCATGCAGATTAGTTAATAAGAAAGTAAACTTTTCAGACTGATTATTCTACAGTGTTCTGCACACAAACAGACTACAGCGCAATGGAAATACAATAAGGTTGGTGCTCACAAACTTCTGCATATATATATATATATATATATTGGAGAGGGGAATTTAATAAGGTATGCCTAGTAAAAGTTAAACAACAACATCAGCTGTCTTATTTGTAATTGGAACTTCTTTACAAGAATTTGGAATACATTTGGCCGAGTCCTTCAGATCCCCATTAACCATGTGTTTTGAATCAATAGTCAATGTAGACAATTTATTTGATACTTTATTTTCCGGTTCCTCACTGACATCTAGTTGCTGATCCTTATCATTTGATAGTGTGAACACACCACATATAGCGGATGAATTAGCTGCCTCAATCATTTGTTCACGTAATGCTTCGATTTGTGCAGTTGTCAGGAATGCATTTGCCATAGGGAAATACTCTGCACAAGCTACTCGATATCTTTCGATGACAGAAGGATCGCAGCGACCTAAAGATGTCCACTGACCTCTTCGTAGAATATCCAAGCAACTACTGCATGCCTATGAGATAGATATTTGAAAAAAAGGAAAACACTATTGCAAAATATGTCGAACGAAAAATACAGTGTACACTTTAAGTCACAAAAAGTTGTAAAAAATCAAATTAGATAATACGCAGTTACCTTCCAGCTATTCCAAACTCAACAGTTGCATATTAGCAATTCTTGTACTGTAAGGTAGCATAGTTGCATTATTGAAATGAACATAGTGACAAAGGTGGCATGAAAAATTAGTCAGTGTAATGAGGTAAAGAGGAGTCACAAAAACCACAATTATACACACTTCGAAATTTAGTTGCATGCTGTTTTATGACTCATTCGAACTGAAAAAGCTCTCGCTTTACAGATGAAGAAACCGAATTCTGTAAACAAAACAAGCTTGTTCAACGACTGTATTAACACTGAACGTAGTTTTATTTTTCAATTCTCTCCAATTTTTTTTCTTCCACCTTCAGCTAAAAGACACCAGTTTATTCCGCTTCTATGCGTAGTTTGATCACATCGCATTTTACATAAATTATTACACATATTACAGAATCAGATTTCTGAGCCTGAATATTTCCATGTTCTTTGTGATTATTTCTGATTTCATGTCAAACACTAGCGAATCAACGTAGCACGCTGAAAAGTAGCTTTCACCACTAAATTTCACCGTTGTCATTATATACCTTCAAATAATACTTGCACATATGATACCTTCAAGAATAGAACTGTTGTTGTACAAATACTGAGAATAAGATAACCGAAATGACATCATTTACTCAACTGCCTATTTTCTCTCTTATGTTCGGTTGAGTAGTTTACACAATTTACAGAGAAACACCGCACACACACACCTAACAGTAACGAAAACTGAATGATTTACACACAAGAAGACTATTAGAGTTAAAAAAAATGAATAACTTTTGAATAATGTCAAACAGTGGTAAGAAATTTTTCTCATATAAACAAGCTGATCAGACAACATATTGAAAGTGAAATCGTGTTAATGACAGCGACTCCACGTTTTTATTTATTTGACTATTAGACATCATGTAAACACAGAAATGCCACCAAAACAGAAGTACAGAAGCAAAGAATAATCAATAAAATAGGCAGCTGCTCAATATGAAAATTTCAATTCTAAACAAAATCATCGCAATCAGATAGCCTAAAAGCCTGTGTTTTACAACAGGTAGACGAAAGCATAAAGTTTGAGAATTCACTAATTTTCGAAATGGACTGTTCGAAAGAATAATCGTGTAGTGTTATATAAGGTGTCTAAAGGTTATTTTTTGTGACACATGGGAATAGTATTCACAAATAAAATGATCTACGTAAATATACAGCTACACGTACTGAAGCCTGGAATCAAGATACAAATGACTCAGCCGAATCAGAAATAAAAAGCAGTGTAGAAATCTACTAAAGATTAACAGAAACTTTTCACGGTTAGTTGAACCAACTTTTAACGAACCAGTCCTAATTATTCAACGTTATATTACAACTGTGGAGGCATAACAAAGAAATGAAGAATTTACAAATTTCAATCTTTTCTCTATTTAAACAAAAGAAAATCAAGGAGAAATCTAACTTCCAACAAAATACAAATTTTTCAAATCACTATGTTGCCACTGCCAAAAGTATTTCATACTGCAAATCTTGTTCTTCTTGCTTTGACAACGATAATCAAGAGAACGTGTTGTATGAAAAGTAATACAGTTGGGAAGCTGGCTGCGGTAGATATCACATTCTCAAAATACTGTTACAATTGCAACCATTTGCATTCTGAACCAGTCGTCTAATATTTTCTACTTAAGTTATATCCTGTTTCTCTTTTCAACTGAAACAGCTTGCACTAATGAATTTCTCTGTGAGATTCAATGTGAAGTGCAGCATTTGCATACTTGACGTTACCAATATGAATAATATAAAAACATTGCAGTCAATAAGAACTTTACAAGTAAACAAGTTAATTTCTATAACGAACTTTATGAAAGCTGTGATGCCAGTTTAAAGTTATTAAATGCCGCGCAACAAATCTTATTGATACGGCATTTCACTTCTATGAGGCTACAATCAAAGTTTCAAGGCAGAACAAATTAATTATAAGAAGGATAATCTATATCATTTAAGCTGATAATGATACTGTCTATACATAAATAAATTCAGTAAACAAACACTAGATATGCACTTACCTGCCAGGTTACACCCTGAAATTTATCGTTCGGTAGTGGGATAGCAGCAAGATAACTGTTTCTATTTTGAGGGTCGATCAAACACTGAACTATAGTATCTGTAAAATGATGGTGAAAAATTATCATGAGTAGAGAAACAACAGAAAGTTTATCGAATGACATGTACTTCTATATAATGCAACTGGCTAACACATAGTACGCTTGTTATGTAATATGAACCACTGTTTTGTATATGTGCGACAACATGAAGACGTTACGTACGAATTTCGCTCATTTTATGACATTTAATCATAAGAGATATGTTTGTGAACAAGGCTTTAGGTCACATACAAAACATAAATTTTTACATCACGATCAAAAAAGAAACATATTTCAGGTTGGTAGGTAAACACTTAAGCCTCATTCACACTCTTCTATAAAAAGGCTAATCAACTCGATCAGATAATTGGATAGTCTAAACCCTTATCAAATAATTACTATAAATTGATTGCAACAATAAACCTTATTATGTACTGAAATGAAATGCCTTTATTACAGTGTCTGCTTACAAGTTACAAATATTCATAGATGAGAAGTGCTAATACCTGTCAATTCCAATAAATTTACTGGTAGAATGTGATTCATCTAACAGACATAAGCTATACTGTTCTTATTTGGCACTCTTAAACACAGAGTACCAACCAATTGACCACGGCTTAAACTTGAAGTCTTAAGACTACCAGACGGGCACCAATCAGTCACTGTGTTTGATCCGGTGTGGCGCAGGGATTTCAGCTTCTGCCTCTTCACGATTAAAGAGATCTATGATTGTAATTGTTGAGTGTTCTTTGTGCTTTGACATTTGGACAGTGAACATTTTCATCATCAAGATGGATGACTTCGTTAGAGTTTGCTTATCAGGGGACTATTGAATAGCAACTTTGTTGCTATTACTGTATAACTAACGACTAGTAATTATGTAAGATACAGATTTACTTCACTGTTTACGACTCAATAAGATATGGCATTTGTTGATAACAAAAGACATTAGTTTCATCGAGGCTACTTTAATTCATGAATAGTATCCAATGGAGCAAATTTCAACTCTTATTGTTATCTAAAACAAGATTGAATAACATATTTTACAATGTGTCATGCTTGTCTGATGTCTTTAATCAATTTTGTCTGGATGATTTTAAACTCAAAGTTACTGGGTGCTTTTTGTTTAAATGGTATGAAATACTTGTGTTTGGTTTTGTCATTCGCATACAAAACAGCAAAATATAAAAACAATTCATACAAGATACCTAATTACCGACTAAGATTCTTAGTATTCACATAATTATGCTTCTAGAAGTTCAATTGAAGGCCTCGTTGAGATATAACACCACAGAGTTATATCCATAATGTGAAAGTAGTAAAATAAGTAATCTGCTTCGAATCACGAATTCAATCTCTTCTCATATGAATATAGATAAAATATAGATATTTAAATAAGCGCTCATATTTTCATTACACTGATACATTTTCAGTGGAAGTCTGTCATAGTTCACTTTCATAGAATCAACATTGTAGAGTAGTAGCAGAAATACTGTAGGGTAATCATAGATTTGAAGTTATAAACATGTAACAAGACATGAAGTTTTGTCATAGATACTCGAATACCTCAACAACAAAAAAGGAGTATGAATGAACTAGGCGATATCACAGAATATAAAACTTACATCTAAATACATGGGAGTACTGATTAAGATTACGTTCATAAAACTTTTCATTATAATTCTTAACAAATGAAATATCATCTGGCCACTCATTGAATAATTTAGGTACTTCAGTTGACAGTACTCTACCAACTACATCATCTGATTTGCTCCGATTGAGTAACTGCAATAGAAATCTTACACAGCACTCATGAAACCATGGGTTATCACGAGAGTTATTTAATTGAAGACCTCGAGAGATCCACTTTAGCATGAGCAAAAATTTTCCTATGAAAAATGAAAAAAAATCAATTAAATTAAAACCAACAAATTAAATTGCTAAACATTTATGAAATCAATAATTGTCCACCAATTTATAAGATTTGACATATTATTCAAAAAATATCATCGCCAACAATAACTCTGTAATTTATGATGCTATTTTAAGTTGCACAAATGAAGTGGCTTTATAAACTTTGAACTACAAATTACGCAAGACGAACCACGATCAGGCTTTAAAAGATGTTCAACAAAATTTCCGATGAGACGCGCACTATGAAACAATAAACGAATTTCACTATAACATTGCATCCAATCAAATCATAACACCAAAACATCAGTTACATCCATCAATTACAAGATAACAAGTTACCACAATTGTATCATCTAAAGAAATTGATTGCTCAGAATGCAGCTATTCAAGAATATGAAAATCTAATCTAAGAAAGTCAAACAATACGGAGAATTGCAATAGGCAATTACTCACAGTATGTTTTCTAGGAGAACTATTTTGACTAGCTGTACACTATGCCAGAAATTATTGAACAGGAAGGTCCTGAGTTTGAACCCCGATGAATGCGTACTGATGAAGAACTTCAAACCGGGATGAAACAGCTGTCCATTGCTCACTAGTTGTCAAGTGGTTCTGCAAACCAACGCTTGAAAAACATATCTTTCAGTGACTTGGATATTCGCATAATTTATTCAGGACGAAAATAGTCAGAGCGAACAATTGTTCTCAATCAATTCTTCTTCAGGCTCTACAATTATAAATTGACTAATTTAAGCATACAATAGCCAATAAAGGCCAATTAGAATCACATCAGTTTAAGATAGAATGGAACAATAGTTAGTTAGTTATGGATATGCATGGTCAATGAGGACATGAGATGAAATAATATAATGATATATATATATATATATATATATATATATACATATATATATATATATAGGCAACAAAGTTACAGGTTTCGAGATGATTGTATTCATTGGTGTGTGAAGGCGTCATCTATGCGCGCACGTGCACATGTACCTGTATGGTAGAGTAAAGCGGTAACCAAATGTATAGTGCAGTCTGAGCCCACTTGGTAGATACTGGACACTCGATAAAACCTCACCAGGCACTTTCAGTTATTTACCGCGATCCTGGTAACCTATCTAGAGCTCAACTACGTCTTCTATCAGTAGCCGAAGCGGTAGCAATCAATACCAGAAAACCGGGTCTTTGTATACAGAAGAGGTATGTCCAACCGCTATGTTTACCTTGGCCTACAACAAGGCCAACAAATCCTCCATACATATTAGAACTTTAAATTCCTATCGCTTTTCTAACTTGTTATCATATTTGCAAAAATCCTGTTCATTTCACTTCACTAAATTCATTATTATTAATTGATCGTCGTTCACTAATAGGAATTTTAAATTCACACCACGTCATCGTTTTTATTTGACAACTATTATTATCGTTATTTCACCCTTGAACCTACATCTAGTCCACCCCATTCTTTGGTTTATTTTCCGTAGTATTGATATTGTCACACACACCACTGAATACAATCACCTCGATACCTGCAACTTTGTTGTCTATGTATATATATATATATATATATATATATATACATATATCATTGTATTATTTCATCTCATGTTCTCATTGACCATGCATATCCATAACTAACTAACTATTGTTCCATTCTATCTTAAACTGATGTGATTCTAATTGGCCTTTATTGGCTATTGTATGCTTAAATTAGTCAATTTATAATTGTAGAGCCTGAAGAAGAATTGATTGAGAACAATTGTTCGCTTTACCTATTTTTGTTCTGAAACATATTTTCGTCCAGGTAATTACTTCTTTTGCAACGACTTCATTTTCAAGTTGTACAATATGACGAACAAATGGTCAACTGGGAGAAATTAGTCAACGACTGTAAAAAAGGACGTATAGATGACATATTTACTGTTTGTGACGAAAACTGCACAACTGTTGACCTTCTTATACAATTTAACCCTTGTCATTTATCTACACTTTCATGATAGACAAAGAGAACAATTCTGCATCACACTTCGTATGTTTGATAGGAAAGATGGTGACACATTAAAAACGTCGATCTACAAAAAGGAAACTTCTATAATACACTAATTTCAACAGTTGACTACATCTAAATTGAAAGAGAAACTTTATTCATTCATGATGTTCTAAGGTTCTGCTAATCTGCTCTACGGATATAGTTGAAGAACTTGAAAATCTTCTTAGAAAGCTCTTAAACAATGGATATCCTAGATGGTTTATTGAAACAAACATGGAAACAAATCGCTCCCAAACAAGACGCTAATTATGAATTTAGCTGAAATTATCAGACTCAGTCTTTCTAAGCGTACCCAACACACATTCTATGACGCTGACTTATACCTGGTATTCTTGTAAGACAATATCATTCGACAGAGTGTGAGAAACAAACGACAGCTTATGTACTCTACTATATGCATCGATTCTTTTACATGATCCTAATTACACTGGACTTTGTAAGCATGTTCTCCGGAAACGTGCAGCTGAACATGATTAAGTTTGGTTGATGAAAGGACATTGGATGACAGTCATAAATATATATAAACTCCTTGGGTCAGGTGACTGAGCCCATGACTTGTCCTTTAAAGTTGTCGATAAGGCTAAATTCAGTCACTCCAAAACTTTTCGCCACTTATGTATAGCCAAAGCACTAGTTATACATGAACAGACACCTAAACTACATGTTCAAAAACGTTTTACCAAAGCTATTTTTGTACCGTGTTCACAGTAATGCTCTTTTTTGGTTCATTTCAATCCATTCCACTTTATCTTTGGCATTTTTATCTTTGTCACCACCGCAATTTTAATTTTTGATATAACTTACTTTTCAATTCCTTATTACATATATACCTTTATATGATTATGAGCAAAAAATTGTTCTCGAAACGTCATCAGCAAATATTACTGTATAACACTGTGAAACTTTATGAAAATAAATTTTACCCGTAATGGAATTATACTCCACCACAGTGCATAAGTTTTATTCTTATATCTATTTAAAAATCTTTTATAATTCTGTAAATTATTCGATTAAATACTACTCCTTTGAAAATCACGTTAACCATTTTTATTCTTCTCACATAGTATTGGCCCGGGCAATTTTTAATGCCAATTAATGCTATTATCCATAATATAAGTACGAATTTACAGCCGAAGGATGAAGTTATTGAAAAAAAATATGCATTCGCTAAACACCACTATATTTTTCCTCATTCATGAATAAATGGGTATATTTTATCATTCACATATTTATTTTCTGAATACTCAGTGGACTTCAGTGCTTAAGTTGCAAAGGTATTGTATTACTTAAATGAAGAAAGCAATATTCTCGTCGTTATGAATAACATCAGAAGAGTATTATGCACATGACTAGCAGCCAACTGTTTGAACTATGGAGGAATTAACACTATTCTTCAACGACAGTGAATTTGACACATTTGAGATATTTTGTAACAACTATATGCATATAAGCCATTTAAACTATTTAAGAAACACCCCTACCCTAGGCATACATGCATAAATTATTATGACAGCAAAATTTGACCGGTGTGCAGTACTCTGAAGAAAAACTTTTGCTTCATATGTATCAATAACTACTCTATTTTATACTACTTGGTGTAAGTCTTTCAGTTGACTGTCAATGTAACAGTCATAAGAAATACATTAACATGACTATAATGCCTTATTAGGGTTTGGTGAATAATTTTTTTTCACATAAAAAAATATTTCGAAATCTCAGTTAACCGATTAACAAAAGAAGATTGTTGTTTAGTCCTATGTGTTGATGGAGATCTATTAATCTACATAACTCAGTAATAAAGCCGATTGAAATCCCAGAGAGAACACGAATTATTTCGAAATGAAGATGCATACCGATGGCCGTATATAAGTGCAAAACTAGGGTTAAAGGCTCTCTGCTGACTTACTTCTTAATACTAAATTTAAAACAGTATGCCATCTTCTTGCCACGATATTTACAACTTAGTAGTTGCGGGCCTTGCTTTGAAAAAGAATAGATGCTCATGAAAAATCAACATACAGCACACAATAAAAATTTTATCGAAGCGACTTACGCTTTCTTTCGTAAACTTCAAAAGCTAGACAATAAGCTTCAATGATTTTGGGTGACAATTCCAATAACGGAAGAAGAAACTTGCAGGCCTCCTCCAAAGGATCCTCAGGCTGTTATTTCAATAAAAAAAAGGAATATCTTTAACTTCTTGAAAATAAACGAAAGAGCTATGGGTTGTAACGTGTATGCGCTTCGGATGGAGGAAATATCGATCTATCAAAGTGAGTCGCATTTGCATTACACGCTATTTCAAAAGTGAAATCAGTCTGTCGTCTACGAAAATTACACAATTAAGAATTTACATACAACGGTAAAAGAAACTAAGGATTACCAAGTGACAGCAAGAGAAAAACTAGCAGACATTCTCCTGGACACATCACTTTACCAAAAACATTGGCATAAATAATTGATTATTTTACCTTCACTTAGGAATCTCGAAGAAATAAGCTGTTCTTACCTTGAGAATGAGATTGATAAAAGAAGTAGACAAGTATTAGAAATGTTAGGGCAGCGTTACTGAAGTCATACAGGTTTCAGTATATATATATATATATATATATATATATATATATATATATATATACTCATTATTATTCTTAATGCTGAGATAAAAGAACATGACAGAAGTATGCCTGGTAATATAAATCGATGAAATATGGAATATCTTTAAATTTTCAGAACAATCCAACTACGACATATTTATGGACTGTTCTACATGACTGATAACTATTTTAGTTCAGTCATTCCTTATAAATACTTAGTAGTTTAAATGAATTGATTAAGTAACTTCGTTTTACTGAGGATTATGACTCTTAATTCCAACAAAGCTAGTTACCTGGTGCACAGATAATGATTAATTGATGTCATAAGACTTTAAATGTTCTGTTATGCCACCAACCGTTCGGCAAACAAACAGATGTGACCATCTTGTTACCACACCGAAAGCGAATAATAAAAGTTGAAGCTACAATTTCTTCTCAACAGTAGTTAAATTCACGGTTGAATCCATGAACAAAAGTAATGATAAATCCGTGCCCCTCCTTATGAGACATTAGCACTTAGCTTCAATGTAATTCAGTTTCTATTTAGTGTACTTATTTTTATTTGAATTTGTTAGGATATGAATTCTCTTTCTGTTATAAAATGTATGAATTCTAACATTTACCAAGTTTGAAATTACAGTAACTAGAAATATCATAAATCAAAATATATTGTTTTCACAAGATCATCAAGTACATGGTAAAAGTGAAAATTACCTGCACCAGTTAGATACATTCAGTTTAACATAGAAGGTAAGCACTTACTCTGGCTAGAAGATTTGCATCTAAATCGTTTTCTACTGCTGATTGATTCTCTGGATTCGCTTCTTCAGATGCAGGTTGCCTTGATCGAGCCGCCTGCTCCCGACGCTCTTGTTCAGCTCGAGCACGAGCAGCTTCTGCTTCTGCACGTTTAGCAGCTTTACGTTGTTTATTTCGTAATTTTTTAGCCTCAGATGACGTCATACCATCTATTTAAAAATGTGAAACATACATGGGTAATCATAAGTCAAATTGAAGTAGACTATTCATTTTCACAATAATAAACCAGCTTTCAAGCAACACTATCGACTACAACCAACTAAAAGCGATTGTAATTTCCTTGACAAGAAAGCAAACACCAAACTTATTGGTCATGTAAGAGATATCATTTTTCTGGACATTCTAAAAGCACAAATCCTATTGAGGCCAATTTTCATTCTTAGAAAGGATGTTTTCGTGATTATGGTAAATAGATTACGTTAACACTTGAAGTATGGAAGATTGGAAAAACCATAACCACACTTTACAACGATATGTAATTATCAGCATGAAAAGACAAATTAGGATGTGGTTCCTCTATGGACTGCTACATAATCTCACTAGTTCTATTTCACCTATTAGGAATAAAAATTCAGTAACGTTTTCGTGTTAGAACATTATGAGAACTCATATATGTTGTATATAATGCATCTCTACACTAAAACAGCCAAAATAAACCCTGGTATTTCAGGACCTTACATCACGATGAGAGACCTGTGTTGAAATGACAGTACTAAACTGGTTACAAGTGTCAGTGATAAATTTTATTTAGTAGACTCATTTCGAGGTAAATCATAAATAAATTCAGCATATATTGAAATTTTTAACGACATAACTATTTATACTCAACTGGCAACCAATTGCAGACAGAAAAATAAATTGAGAAATAAAGTGATAATCTGAGTATACAATCAATTTGATTTTAGATTATCGAAAACCCATCAAGCAGAATGTATACATTAATCCAGTGTTGTGAGAAGTAGATTGTAAAGGTAGGTAACCCTGAAGTACTGTTCATAATTAGAATAATCGCCAAGTGAAAAGAGTGATTGCATATACATGTTTAAGAAGTAAAGTTAAAATATTACGTATGTTTGTGAACCTCTATTAACTAATTTCTCTAGAACAATCGATAAAAACTTCGGTAAATATATATAGTTATCTTGGAAAATTGGAGTGCTTAAAGTAGGAATAAATTAGGAAGAACCCAATCCAATGGGTAATCTATAGACAGATGAAATCTTTTAATTAAACGTGAAACAAAGTAGTTAATATCTTTAGTGTAAGGTGTTGGCCTATCATGAAAGAGTTTATGGACTTAAACCCTAAACCACATTTAAGAATCTCCCCAAAACTTAATCGTTTAAAATCTTCATCACAAGAGTAATGCTTTCCTTTTTATACGTGCTTCGATACTTTGTAATTAACATTTATGTGATAATTCGTTTAGAAGCTATATCCAACTCAAGTAAACCAACCAGTTACGAGAGGAAATACAGTACAAGTAACTACCAAACACTAATGAGTTACAACTGTGTAAAAAATGTAACAAATAAGTGCAATAAAAGAACAGAGACGTTTGTATTAATAAAGCAAATTATCAATGACTTGTTCCAATGACAATACGTGCATACAACCCTCATCATCTCTACGAAGACATTATAAGTTGACGAAGGACAAACATAAACAAGTCAAAAGGAGCTGGAAAAAAAAAGTTTTTACAATCCAGCATGGTACGTAGTGATCAATGAACCTCTACCATTGAAACCACTACTAAAACGACCAACACACAGTAGGTGATTTATGTCATCAAAAGCATAAAAGAAATTTGAAATGATAATACTAGTAGCAGCTTTTATTGTTCAGTTCTATGACGTCTGATAACAATCGAATTTTCTCGTTAACAAATACTTCTGAAGGGAAATGGACACTATTCAAATTAAAATCTGATACCAATCCATGAAGTCTCTAACTTGGTTTCAGCCACGTTGAGAAGTACAAACTTCTGGATTAGGGGCCCTCAAGATAATAAGAAACAATAACTGTCAGTGACGTCTTAAAATCGTTCTCAATGGTGCAGATGCATCTACTTTTGTAATCTTCCAGATGCATTAAATCTTCAGTATTCTTCAAATATTGACTCTCCTTCTCGTACATTTTTATTCATTGCAATTCCTTTGAATTTTCTGTGTGTGTACCATATGGAGTGCGGTAACTTGAACTGAGTCAATCATGAGCATTATGGATGGATATTTGTTAAAATATTAAGACAGTTAAACAGAAACAGTACAACTAACCATTTTCACCATGTGGGGATTCATCATTACTCCCTAATGGTTGAGCATACAACTGCAAATAAATCTAGAGAACAAATTTTAAAAAAATAAAATTAATGGATATAAATTAACCAATTTGCAGGTGGACAGGAGAAAATAGATCAAAGAATGAAGCTTATATATATCTGAGACAGGGTTTTTTTTACGTAGAGTGACTACACGATTCACTTACTCTCTTCTTCTTGACAGTAGATATCCCACTGGAACTCAAAACAGACTATTACCGTATCAACATCAAAATGGTAACACTAATGTAAACACATGAAATGTGCTTTATTATCTAACACGAACCTGACAAATCTTATTGCTGTTATGCAAATATCCTGGGTAGATTCAAAGGCTTAACTCTTTCAGAAAAGGTCTGGAGTGGATTTCAAAATTGAGATGATTGTGAAGTGTAAACTAATCAGTTCAAAGAGACGGATAAGAAAGCTAATTCACACAGTAAGCCTAAAAGATTAAACTACAGTAACTATGAACATGACTCAAACTTTAATTTAACAGCTGAAATATTTAAAATAGAAAGTGGAATATTACACACACAATTCCAAATCGAAATTCATGTGAAAATTCACTAAAAATTGCGGAATGAATTTGAGAACCTTTAAATCAATGACTGAGAACTTGGTATCTAGCCTCATAAGTAGGTTTTTATAACACTTTTAAGATATCAGCAAATGAGCCACAATTTATATTCGGGCACCTTGCAACTTTATTTAGTAGCAATTCAGTAGCAGAAAATAGAATTATATCCGAAAAAACTTGAGTTTTTGCAGATATCCCAAGCAAAGAAAACACAGTAAAATTCACTAAACAAACTGAAACTAGTCTTATGTCAATCCTATGAGTTACAAGTACTTTATTAGACAATTCATAGGACAAAGTAAAAACTGTTATTGATCTAACTAGCAATTCAATCGACGGACTTCAAAGTAGGAATAAAAATATCGCAACTCACTTCGACTGCAAGTTGGGTAGTATCAAAATAAGATTGGTGATCTCGTAAACGGTCTTCCAAGCGTAATGTTTCAACATATGCTCGCAGAGTGACCTTTCGTAGGCAGTAGGAGTGGAAGTCCAGTTGATCATCGAGAATATTTCTATAATGCTATAATAGTAAGAAGTGTGAGACCATATTTTCGTAAACAAAATGTGTGCAACTGGAATGAGTGAAATAATTGATTTTAAATAAGACATAGTAGGTGACGAAAACCATTAAATAACAAAAATTCATCAAGCACGGGAGAAGTACATGCGAATTTGAAAAGTAAATAAACTGGAAAGTATTATGAATCTAATGAAAGTTTGTCGCAAATTACTATTACAGCTTTTTACCCAGTGGTTTGCATCTTTACATAGTTGTGCAATGAATGTTTATGTATCGCCTCTTGCAAGTTTTTTTGACACTCTTGCAATGAGTATGTTATTTAAACACAAGACTACCATGAGAAAGACAGTACAACAACCACACATCCTCATATGTAAAACAATAACCGACCTTCAACATTCATCACCATTGTTTGTCTTATATATGGCATGATGCAAGATTTCTCAGAGGATGTGAGAACAATTTAGCTAATATATATATGGTTTTTGGTTTGGAAACCTATTCACTTCACGAAATAATGAGACTCACTGATTTACCAGCATACAATATTGCAAAAAAAATGGTTATTTTCAGTCTGGGAAAGTTCACAAGTAGAGAAAATAAATACAATGAAACCATAACGAAAGCAAATTGATGAAGAAAGAGAACAACCAGATGAAGATTGAAGAGGATTTCCATTATTTGAATGGTAGAAAAAAGAGTTGTCTCAAATCATTCGTTCTTAGCATTCCAAAGGTCTCAGAAAAATAGTCCATCCTTTTTACGTGGCTCATACCAACAGTAAAAGGCTTAGTAGATTGGTGGATTGTTTACATCTGGTCACTCTCCCAATATAATATGATTTCAGCTAACATCAATCATTGGGGATATCGGTGAATTGACATGAGTAACGTGTCTCGAATGTGTCCACCAATAAACCATTGAAGTCGCATGTCTGCAAAATCAGTTTATTTACCACGGCCTATTTGGAACACCTTTCCTTAGTTAGTTTATGTGGTTGGCGAATGTTACTTTTCGCCGCTGACGAGCGTTTGCAGTTGTTACGAGTCTTGATCATTTTAAATAGCTTTTGCTCATCACATTCAGTAACTGTCAACATCAGTGCCTTTACAACAATCACCTCGGAGGGAATTGTAGAAACCCAGTGGCATCTAACAAGTCTTTGCCTGTTATGAACCTCCTGCATTACTGTTTCCACAGAAAACTTGTTGCGATGCCAGATTTCTTCGGGATATCTCAAATTAGTATTTCTACTTATATTATAAATAAATTTGAAGTCGGCATAGGCCTACTTCAATCAACGAATTGCAAATGCTTGATTCTAAATGATCATGAACAATTCAGTTTAGGAATTAAGGGAAGGAAAGACTCAAAAATGTGAAATTTTGCAAGTTCAGCGAATAACATCAGCAAACACTTGTTGCGGCGAACTTAGTTTCGAAGAGACATTAAGAACATCTACTATACTAAGATATGCTTTAAATTCACTAAGTAGCAACCACAAACACTATCTTGAAGTCATGATATAGCCTGTTTTTCACAATTTTACTTCCCTCTTAAATTACTGGAAGATTAGTATTACAAACTTTCATGTGAACACCATTTTCCATTAGCTTGAGCATTAACTGCAATTTATGGGAAGTGTGAGACTTCAGAAATTAAATTTCTGTAGGACTAAGTACGGACTGCTTTTGCCCGTTAGCTGATACAGATACCACTACAATTTCCTGTAAAATATAAAATGTGATTTCTTTGATAACTTGTCAGAAACAAATCGAAGAACCTATCCATTTACAATAGTTAATGTCATTACGATAAGCTTCACATCTTAATTTACACTCAACCATACATATATGCATAAACTACAATCTAATCAAAACCCACCTGTTGCACCTCGTGACACAATTTAAGTGCCTCACCAAGTTTACCCATTTCTTTGAGCGCCTTCGCATTGTCAAGTAAAAACCACATACACTGCATCTCAGATAAATATTCCTTCGCCGATGTGTTACCCTAAATACCAAGTTAAAGTACTAGAAATGCATTACCCTCGTAAATTTAGATGCCATATTTGTAGCATCTTCTAGGCGATGAGCTTCAACCATGAATTTTGTACAGCGAGCATTAATAAAACGATCAGCTGTATCAAGCGACTGAGCCTCTTCCATCCATCGACTGGCTGTTATGTAGTCTCCGGCATCATGAAAGACATCAGCTTTTAGGACATAAAAGTCGACCAGAGTAGGCGTAGATAATAACTGAGCATCAATGAGGTCAATAGCTTCCTAGAAATAACGCAAATATTAAGTTAATTCATACCTGATATTTTTTATTGAAATTGTAATACTGGGCTAACAAGTAAGTGAGCCAAATTTCTGTAGTAGGAGCATCCTTGAAGCTACATTCTTCTTCGAAGTCCAGAGAGCCAGTAAGATATAAGTTTTTTCGATACTTTTCCAAAAGACTCTCAAACATTGCTAACTTTTCAGAGTCATATAAAAGCCCCACAAGTTGAATAAATAGTGGAGGAACACCCTTTCTTATGTACGGCTTCAGGTAAGAATCCAATCTTTGAAGAAACTCATCTCCTAAAAACGAGATATATCGATACAGAAAGACATACCTGAACAATAATTTAAAATCAACCGCCTGGACAGACGGGACTGTGGATAACGGGAAATGATAGCTTCATAAGTTTTTTTGGTCAACTCGGAGTTTTCCTCTGTGTTGCCAGTGGCTAATGCAGTATTGGCACGAGATAACAGTTCGCAATAAGTTTGACTTTCTTGATTCCGACCAATCAGTTCCCACGAACAATCAGCCGCCTCTTGATATCGACCGAGTTTCAGTAAAATTTCAGCTAAAAAGTAAGGTTAGAGCATTTGTCGACCTACTTTTCATCTCCAACAATGATATCTTGTCAACTATCTGATTGCTGCTGCTTTCTAGATGTTCTAAGGCGGCCTCTTCCTTTCCGGCTTCTAGCATTACCATTGCTTGATAAAGCAGCAATTCACTGTGTTCGTAATCGAAAGGTGGTATTTCGCTCTGACCTTTCCTGAATTCGTTGATAATTGTAAGTGCGGTTTCGTAGTTTCCCAGTAAGTGATGAATTAAGGCATATCCTATCCAAGAGGCCTTTTGACTAGGCCGCAACAACAATAATTTGTAACGGATATCCTAGCAAGTGAGAATAAGGTTAAGCATACCTTGCAGCCTTCATAGTCCCTTAATTGCATCTGCAGAACTGATAGATCTCTGAGTACTTGTAAATTATCATTATCCAGCCTTAGGGCTTGGAGGTAACATTTTATCGCCTCTTCGTACTTGTGGTCGGATTTGTGAATCAGTCCATAGATATGCCAGCCTAACGGGATGACCTTAATAGAAGAAACTTACAAACAAAACTCGTTATGTTAGCCTTCAGACCACGCTTTACATATTCTCTTGCTTCATCCTTTTTCCCAAGACAATTTAACAAGATACCCTTCATAGCCAATGTTTCTGAAAAAATAGGTGACAGATAGTGTCTTTTTCAAATTGCGACTACCTCCATGTTCACTAAACTTTGGGTTGCTTAGTATCTGTTTGGCATACTTTAACCCATTCTTATATTGTTTTTGGTCATAATATTTCTAACGCAATGAATACAAAATAGTGACAGAACTTACAACAACCCTTTTAAAAATCGAAAGCTCTTTTGGGGGGAGGGTATACGTTGATGACTGTTTACTCATCGTCTAACACAATAGCACATGAAATCCTGCTAACCTGGCCAACTTAAATCGCGTGCTCGCACATAACGCGGCTCAACGTACAACGAAATTACATAGGTCCAATGAACCTTACTGATAATTTTGGTATACTATTGAAGCCAAATGGCATCAGTAGCGTTTAAAACTAGCTACGCAGGCATTAAAAGTTTAAAAACCTATGGATTTCATTCCTTGGACTTGAAACTTGATTTTTTAATCTTTGCCCAAAGCCTTCCTGATAGCTAACAGAGCATTCATATTCATTACTATCTTCATTGTGTCCTTCTCAAAGCAGTTGTAACCGTGCTTGTGAAAGTTTACGATAGTAATCTCTATCCATAATTTGGGAGGAAATGTCTAGTCGTTCTCTTGTCAGCACTTCAATTGTGATTTTGTCAAGAATAATCAAAAAATCCGTGATACACTAATAAGCTATTTAGAAAAACATAAGACCTTCTACCGGAAGCTTTTCTTGTCCGATAAATTTTATTGCAGCAGTGAAAACCTGAGACAAGTCTACAAATAAAGAGACCTTTCAGAATTGTTTCCGTAGGTTTCAGCGGAGCTTTTTAAAATATTTCCCACACAAGATTACTCATGCGGACGAAACGTTCGACAATTGATGGAAGCAAGTATCACTGAGTCGGGGAACTTACTGCAAGTGGGAGGCAGAGAGTTAGACTCAACTCCAAACTCTCTTCCTGGGCAATCCTACCGAATGGTTTGCCACAGGACACTACACTCTTCCCATCATATTTATCTTGTATATGAATGAATAACCCAGACAAACAATGCCTTCCATGGTTCTCTATTCAGATAACCTCCAAATCTGAAAGGGCTTCAGTCATAACTGAGACATTCTGTCGCCAGTTTTCTTATTGGTAGTTAGAAGTATTGGGGCTCCCCATCAACGTAAAGAAGTGGCCATCACATGGAATACTACTCCATCTAGTCCCAACAAATAAAGATCTATATTTTATTATTTTATTTTTGATTACAGCTTGATGCCACACCGTATTTTCAGTACAAGTATGAAATTTTCAGCATGGATATCGGTAGCCCAAATTTTAGCAGGCTGACCATAGATATCGGGTGTGCGTCGGCAGGGGATCGAACCCCGGACCATGTGCATGGTCGGCGAAAGTCCTAACCACTGTGTTACCTGATATCATGACACACTCTCAGTGGCAACTCACTGCTCTTTATCCTCACTGGCAGAACTAAGAGTCTTTGATAGAATCACCAGTGAAATTTCCTCACTTTGTATGCATCTCTGATGAGACCGAAACTAAAAAACTGCATCCGGGCAGCGAACCCTTACCTTCAGCTGGAGCAACATACTCATGAAATACTTAAATCGAAGGCCTCATCATGTTTGCTAAAATAACGTATCGACAGTAAGAGAAACGACTTCGCAGTTTAAATCTCCTCTCATACGTCAAGCAGAGAGAAGATCTAGTTACGATGATCAAAACTACAAGAAACGATTATGGGCCTGATGTTTATTCTCCTTTCTCTTCCATTTGGTCGAAATATTTCCTCAGACATAGCGGAAGATTTCAGAAGTCAAGGTATAACCATTGTCAGTGGAATAAAGTTTCTTTGACCGGACCATTATCGCTTGGAACCTAAAGAAGGGGTGTCTGAGTTGTCAGTCACCTCATTAAAGAAGAGAATAGAGACTCAGGGGCCTTTATTAGGAAAGAATTAACATAGATTTCTATTCTCAGATAAAATTCTGGATCCGTATGACTCGAACGCTATAGAAAAATCTGAATTTTGGCTTGCGAAATGATTCGAATAGTATGCATGATAAATTAATATATTAGTATACATATCCTGTGAGATATTCGCATTTCTGATTTCTAATCATGACTAAGGCTCTTCCAATGTATTTTGCCTCAAGTAGACCTAAATAATAAGTATGTGAATGATTTCGCAGTCTGCAGATTATACAGTTCTAAGTGAAACGTTACTGTGGTTATCTCCCCAAATCAAAGGTATTCGAATCATGGAGTTTGGTCTGCTTGATTTGTAAATAACAATCTGGGAAACAAGAGGTACAGCATGGTAGTTATGAGTAAACGGAAAGAGCGACTCTATGATAAGTGATAATTCCAAATTACTCATATCGCTTAACAGTGATAGAGTATAGGTTTAGTGCATGTGGAATAGAGCATAAATGTAAAATAGCCGCAAGGCATTAGATAACTGTAAGAAAGAAAACGAGAATGTTATGAAGGTACAGCATTGAGCAGTAGTGTGGCCACACGATAACACCAGTAGTGATGTGTAGTTTAAGTGATGATTTTAAATTTCAAAAGGCCATATATTACCGATTATTATGAGTGGTTAGTTGCATAAACCTCAATAAATTGTTTTACAAATTAACGTGAATCATGGTCGAACCTGAGTAACGGTGACCGATTTCGAATGTAGATGACGGGAAACTTGTGGCTGTACTGTCTTGAGACCGTTCGTTTCTGAAATTTGTCGGTTTTTTCCACACAAATACGTCTTTCAATCGAAGTAATTCTGACCCCTCTCACTTAATAATTAAGCTATGTTAGATAGTGCCTAGAGATCTGGCGTGCTTTTCGTGTCAACTTATCTGTTCATACGAAATATTTTACTGTGTTCTGGTGGGAAAAGGATGCAATTGCAGATCAGAATTTGAGTCACAACAGGGCAAACTGAGAAACATAGTGCTGAGAGGAATCCTCTTGTCAATGTATTTGAAGAATGAACGATCAATTCACGGTTGTTTACTCAAAACCATCTTCATATTTTGGCGGGGGTCACCGATACTGCAGTCATTGTTCCATCGTACTCTGTTCGTTAGAAGACGATGAAATGCTATCAGAAGTATAATTGTGATTGATTGTTCTGACATTTATCCTTAGACTTTGTGTATAACAAACTTATTGTTGGTTCCATATTGGTGCAAGAATAAAGGATTCTTGAGTCACCATTCTGTGTTCTGTTTTTTTTCGCGTTGGTTATTGCACATTGTTGCTGAAGGTCTTCTAAGTACACCGTTAAGTCCAGCGTAGTTAGACCTGGACATTGACACCTCAAGTAATTGGTATGTAATCATAGATCTCGCCAGAATGATGAAATGTTATTACACATATATATCCGTATAAGGTTACATAGCATTCCAATCGGTCACATGATGCAATATCACTTGCTTAGGGCTTGTAGATGACCTATGGTGGTAAAGATCAACAAGCAAGCAACTTGCTACAGTGGTTTTCTGTCGAATTCCCTGGGGCATTCACCATAGGTTCGGTGGTAGGCATCCCAGCTTAGCGAACACGTTGCGAACATCCTCGAATGGCCTTAATCAACACTAGGGGCAAATAACATGACTTCTGAATGCTAATTTGGCGGCTAGCATACATACACGCATATCTGTACCAAAATCATGGAGAGTAAGAGGATGTCATAGCAAACAAACATCAAATGTTGTCTTAAAGTAGTGGCGCTGAGAAAAGCTCCTGGGTTTGGGAACTGTTACGAACATTTTTGAATAAAATGCAAAATAAACAACATAAGAAAAGGGCGACATCGTGTGTCGGAAGATTCACTGGATAGGGGAACTCACTTTTCTAACTGCAACATAGATTTAGCAAGTAACGTGTGTAACATCGCAAAGCGAGTCATAATACTATGCAAAAAGATCTTAAGGAGCTTGGTCCAAGTTTATCATGGTGTTTAAGAGAAAAGAACGATCAGCTAAGAGTGATTCTTTTCAGTGATATCATTCCCAAGCTTCACAATCGCGTAAATATTTGGCATAATTCCTTAGCAACAAAGGAAGTATTCCTAAAGATAAGTTATTAGAATTGTATATTTGATATAGCAGTTGTGTAATATTGAAACCATAACCGGGTAGAAATTGAAATAATAAGTAAACTGGGCAACGCACCATAGCTGATATTACTGAGTAGAATTCGACTAAAACTGAATGAGAGTCAAGTTAACAAGGCTGACAATGATTGGCGAAAATTCAATACGAGGGAGAAAATAATAACTAGAAATCAAAACTGAAAAGCGAGCTTGTGTATCGAGTTATATGACAAATCGGGTCCATTCTAGGTTCAGCGACTGGACAAACTTCTTTTGTATGTAGAGTTTGAGACTTGCTAGTGAATAGCGTCGCTTCTGTGGTCAGAAGCATCTTGACCTGTACTCTTCCAGGAGGGTTCCAACGCATGCAGCAGATGACTTTAAAGCTTGTTTGTGGGTGAGCTTAGAGTTCAGGTTCTAACACTTATCCTGGGATAGACCTGAGGAATCGAATCTGGTCACCAAGTTAACTATAAAACCATGCCCTTCTAACTTTCAGATTGCGTGGAACTCTGCCGAAGGCCTTTTTCACGCCAGGACATATGACAATCACCAGTTTTCCTCTGCCCCCTTTATAGGTGTCTCGATCGAAAGAATTCCGGATGGCAAGCGATATATTCTCTTTGAGAAGCTGTACTCACCTGGGATTCTCAATCCATTACTGAACTTGTCGAAGTCATTTCTTAGCATCAGGGTACAAACTATCAAACTCAGATATAGACTGTCCCATCCTTGGCAGATCACAAGTGTAGGGTAGTGTCCCAGGACCACTTCTATTCCCAGTCTACACTAAAAGCATTTATAACTGCTTCACCACAAGTAAACCATTCCTATATGCTGACGACCTTGTAAGAGTTGGACTTAGGGTTTGCCTCTAACTGACAATAACACTCTTACAAAAATCCTTCACCGTTTATAACCTTAATTAGTACTCTGCCTACGTGCAAGTACTAAGGAAACGGAATTGAAGTTAGAAGACTCAAAATGCCAAGTTTAACCGGACCGGAAGTATATTTACACAACGAGATATGCAATTTGATAAGGAATAAAAAATACACACTTATCTGGATGAGAGACGGCTGTCGGCTCAAAGAGTGTACTAGGTGAAAGTACAGCGAGGGAGCGAGACAGTAACCGTACAGGAGGAACCGGAGTGCAAAGCGGAAGTGGAAGTGAAGTTCAACATGTCAGGTTGCATTCATTCAAACAAAAGTTCAAAGGTACAATGTACACTACAGGTTATCCCCCCCTTAGAAGGTTGGTGGGATAA